CAATGAGACCAGAAACGCCACGAGTCACCGCATACAACCATAAAACTGCCTCTTTTTATACTTGATTGCACCATAAATCTGCTATTAAAGTTATGCTTTAACTCTTTAACAAGAGTTTTTGAACAGCCTGGAGATTGATGAGAACATTTAGTCAAAATAGAAAGGAAGTTCTACAAATAATCTTGTCACAATGACTATACAACACATCAAAAGGTGTGTCAGAGATTCAACAGAAACCGTGTAGCAGATGAGAAGTGCTTAAGTGGGTTATATAGCCTCAGGGTGAAGTCTTTATACCATCACTACGCCACTTTTGTCTGTGATTTACAGATACTGTAAAATCCTAATCTAAGTTACACTAAACACATCTGCACCATCACTGTCCAGTCAATTACATTTCCAATAACATAAAACTCACACATTACATGCATCAATATAGACCAAAACTCTAGTTCCTATAGTGACAGAAGGCCTGTTGTGTCAATGAATCACACATAAATCTACCCACCTGGCCAAGTGAAATTCCTAAAACATGAAAAAGACTTTGACCTTTGCCCATACACAAATAAACACACAGTGTCACTCACCTATCTTGGCGGTTTCAGCTCTGAAGGTGCTGAAGTCCCAGTTGCGAGGTAGTCTCAAAGACATTTCTTCAAAATCGGACCGAAAGGTTACACACACACAGACACACTCGCACACATTCTCTCATTCACACACACACACACAATGACAAAACACACTGTGAACTCTAAGAGTACATTCTTTCCAGTCAGCCTCTCTTCTTCTCTTTACTTCCTCCTTCCTCTGCTGATCTGATTCTTCTTCTTCTTTTTTTCTGTTTTCTTTTTAACACCTCCAAACACGTTGAATCTGCTCCTAGGCTCGCCTGTAGTGTTTGTGTGAGCAAACCAAGAGTTATTTTGAAGTTCCTACATCCAGCATTTCTGTCAGGCTGTAGAGAAACAGCAGAGCAGCACTGACACTCTTCGTACCCACACTCTGACTCTTCATGAGCAGAGGAAGTGAGTGGCAAATTCAAGACAGCCACAGAAAAAATAACAGAGGTGATGAATTTTTACACAGGCGAAAATGCAGAATACAATTGTGCAGGATGCACCTCAACCAATGGGGCCACTTTCTTCTCAGACATTTGTCATCATTTTCTTGGAGAGATGCACCATGGTGTTTCTTTGCTCGTCACAAATCTCAAAATATTTTAACATCTAAAATGAACACAAAACTGTTTCTGTCATAAAAAGGAAGTTCAAACAGCAGAAGGAAGAGATCAAATTTGAGTATATTTATATATACTGAGCTTTCCTTTTTATTAACCATTTACAAATGAGCAAATCACTGTACACGAAGCGGCAGAGAAAGCACATTTATCTGCTTTATCAAAATTACAAAACCAAATAGTCTACAACAGAAATACAGACCATAATACTTAAAGACAAATAACAACAACATATTGAGCTGTTGTTGTCCATTTGTTTAACAGAGAGGAGTTTTTTTCTTCTCAGTGGCAAACCGAAAGAGCTTAACACGTCTGAGTGGGTTTAACATTTCTGTTTTTACTTCAATGGTCATTAATAAATCGCCAGAAATACAGAGAGCACAACTGCACTGCAGTCAGTTTCTCTCTGACACTTCAAGAGTGTCATACTTTCTAAGAAGGATGAAATGTCATGGCAGTGTTTACGAATAACAGAAGTAAGGCTTCACATTAAAGGGGTCATAAACTGAGAAATCAAGAGTCCCTTTATCTTTTGACATATAAGAAGTCATTGTACTATAAAAACCTCCTGTAAGTTTCAGAACTCAAAATTTTCTCGTTAGTCTAAAAACAGCTGATCTTGAAGCCAATCTGCCAAAACGAAAGGTTGTGGAATGTGCCACTTTATGACGTAATAGTGTGACTAAACCCTGCCTCCTCAGAAGATGATCAGCGCCTTTTTCTACATCACTGCCTGTTTAGCCCCGCCCACCGATTCGCGCATGTAGTGTAAATAACGAGAGAGGCAAACGCAGATCTACACAGAAAAGATGGCTTAGAAGACAGCAAGACGCTGCAGTGCCAAGTTGTGGAAAAACACAGTCTTTGCATTGCCTTCCTTCTGAACCTAACATCAGGAAATAGTGGATGAACTATTGTGATTTTTAATGAAGATCCAGATTGCTTGGTCCTTTTGTTCACGTCATTTTACCGCGGATTCGTTTACAAAGCACAATTTGACAGGATTTTCAGAAAGATTGAAACTAAAAGACAATGCTGTGGCGACTATATTGGATCCAAGAGTAATGTCACACCACAGAAGTGTGAGTAACTGTTTTTATTACGTGGTCACTTGCTTTGTCCGTTATTACAGATCGTTTGATATGCAATTACTGATTATTTATGCGTTTTTAACATGCATAACTGTTAGCCAATCATATCAGTGGGTGTTTACTTCTGAGTCTACAATCCGCCACGGGGACAGAAAATAGCCTATTACTTCTAAATTATGATGTCTTTTTATGTAAATATCGTGATAACATTATAAGTGGACTTCAGAGAACAGTACAACATAAAAAAAGGAAGTTCATGACCCCTTTAAAAACCGTCCAAAACATTGTAATGAACAGTGTTAGTGTCGTTTCTCTAGCACTTGTTAAACCCCACCCACAAAAAAAAGAGATGGTTTGGTGCCCTCTAGTGGCAATGAATGGCACGCGCAAGAGTCTGAAGATCTGGCAAGTGTTCAGCATGTAACGTAGACCTACTATCTCAGAAACAAGAGCTAGATATTTTAGCATGCATTTAAGACTTTATTTAAGATAAATGTGTCTCTTTATAAATGTTTATGGTCACCACACTCAAACGCATTATGTCTCTGCTCACCCTCCTGACATCAGTGACGTGTCTGTAACTCTGTTGACTGTAAAACATTGAAATTGCTCTGTTAACGTCTGGAGTTTGTACAGTACGGGAATGTTTCAGCACAGGGGGGCCTAATACATACACAGTGCACAGACTGGCTTAGAGGAAAGAATAAGAATAGAATCATCTCTACGTCAAACATATACTATATAATCTTATTCTAATATAATGTAATTCTCTCTATAAATCTGCAGATTGTACTGAGGTTCAATAACACAAAATCATAATTAATAAACATTCAACAGCACTTAACAGATGAAGATGTGTTTGTTTACTGAATTGAAAAAATAAATACATTAATACATTAAAAAACATGCATTGATGGTGGATGGTGAAAATACGGAGGGGCTTTAAATTTTGCACACGAATTTATGGTCACAACTCTTCAGCGGTGTGACGCAGTGTTTATTATTGTTACGTCACTGCTCTGCGCTCCATACTTGGCTTGAGCTGTCCATCTAAATCATGTAAATGAACAAAAGCAAAACTAAAATTAACATAACTCAGGTAATAAGCTGCCTATTATATATCTTTCAAGACCTGTGGTCATAAAAAGAAAACATCCTAAAACAAAAGTCAGTGAGTTTTTAAAAACATACGTTTTTAACCGACAAACAGGAATATGCCATATATATACTAGTCAACATTTGAAGTGGATCAAAACCTTTCATCAAAGTTGTCCTAAAACCAAAATGCGTTCTTGTCTTAGGACAACTTTGATTAACTTTTTTTGATCCACTTCAAATGTTGACTACTGTATGATTTGCCCATCAATAGTTTATCAGTCATGTCAATACACACAGGTCTGAAAGTATGTGCTCATGGATCTTTATTGATGAATGGCAGAGGACTGTACGTACAGACTGTGGCTTACAGACTAACCTGAGCCCTTACATCTTCATACAGCTTACTGTATAACACTACTGCGCACTACTCTTTTAAAGCTGCTCGATGACACCCATTAAGGTTTCATTTTCTTAAAATAAATATTTGTTTATGGCACGTGCGTTAATGACATCACGTATTAGAGAGGAACAAAATACACAATAGTTCTGACCCTTTTTTGGTTGAGTTTACACAGCAGGTGATGGTAAAAACGAAACAGATGAAATAGAATTATAAAATGAGACGTGGTGGACTTGGTCTCATGCAGTGAAAATGGTGAAGATGGCCCAGCCTGATCATTAACCATTTAGCATGTAACGCTTCACAAACACACACAAAAACAACACCCATAGCTTGATATGATTAGCTTGTAACTGCTCAGTGACGATAGAACATTAAAATAAAACTAGAAATGATAAAATTATGATTTAGACCACAAACAGTAATTCTTAAAACATTTAACATTCAGTGCAAAATGTTTGTCAACATCTCCAAATGGTCTTTTTCAGTGCTGAGTAACAACTAATTATTATTACCTACTAACAACTTAATTATAATTAAAGTTACCTTTGGCTTACAGGGACCGTTTCTTTGTAACAAACATAAAAGCCACGTAATTCTAGTCTGATGAGGCCTTAACTTCCTCTCCAACACTGAATAATGACATTTGAATCTTCTCCTTACCTTCAGGAAGTACAGTATACATACAGTCTCACAGCTGAACTGTAACAGTCACCACCTATTGGGCTGAAGCGCACATTTGATATCAATGACCATAATTTGCTTAAATATAATGTTACAAAAATGTCAAAACCTAAGACCAGGGAGACAAATATGAATTACGGCACACTGCAGTGAAAATACAATCTTTTTTTGAAACTATGATGGGGTATGGAAACACCTGTTAGCAAAAAATAAACAAAGGCTAGCCTGAGGTTGAAATGACAGTGTGATGAGCAGTGCATTAAAACAAAATAAAACATAGTGTAAACTATAAAATATTCAGGCAATCAATAGGTACAGAACATTTGTACACAAGTGGAATTGTACAGCTCAACTCACAAAGAACTGTAACAACAACGTCAATGTTATCTTAATATATATATATAATATTCTTTTGTGGCATAAGAGATAAACATAAAACAAACATTCACAAAAAATAAAATAAGCAAAACCACTGATTTGTACACACACAAACACACACACACACACACACACACACACACACACACACTCACTCACTCACTCTCGCAAACACACTGAAAATGGAATGACCCAAGGTTGTGGTTCAGTTTTCCGTTGTTTCCCTTCTTATGTTCCTCATCTCATCTCCCACTTCCATACATGCCTGGATCTGCTTCCGTTGCACTCTCTCTCTCCACAGCCCACTCCGTTGGGATGTCCCTGGGCTGCTCCGAAAAGCTAGGCTGCTTCTTCCAGGGCAGGGAGCAGGCCTTTCTCTGTCAGATGAGCCTTGAGCGAGTTAAAGATGTGGAGCTGTTGGTCTGGTCTCAAAGCAAGAAGCTGCTGGATGACTTTAGAGGGGTTTGGCCCTCTAAAAGAGAGGAAATGTCAAACACAATGTTTTTATGCTCAAGACATACATGATTAATATTACTCTGATTATAATAGTACTATGATAATATTTTAGACTTTGAAAAACAAAAATTATCCTAACAAGGCACTTACTTCATAGAACCGTCACTCAGTCATTCTCACAAAATAAAAACTCAAACTATCCCAAACTAGACCAAATAAATGAATATTAAAACATTTAAACAAATAAAAATAGATATATACATTATATAAAACATCACAATAAATAAGTAAATAAATAAATAGACAAAAGGACATGTCCATAGGCCAGGTTGCCTGGGACAACATTCAGTTAAATAATGTTATGCAAGTTATTTAATTCCAGAATGTTTGAATTAGTTTTCAGTCAAGAAATGTAATGTCAGTGCATAACGAGTAATAATATCAGTTACAAATTAAAAATTATATGCATTCAGTTTGGGGTCAGTAAGATTGTTTATTTATTTATTTTATTTTATTTTTTTTTGTAAAGAAATTAATACTTTTAGCTCTACTTTCAGCATGCATTAAATTTATCAACAATGTTACTTGAGAACCAAATCAGCATTTTATAATGATTTCTGAAGGTTCATGTGACTCTGTGACACTGGAGTAATGGCTGCTAAAAATTCAGCTTTGTCATCACAGGAGAAAATGACATTTTGAAATATATTCAAAGAGTAAACAGTTGTTTTAAAATTTAAATTTATCTAATTAATGCAGCTTTGGTAAGCAAAAGAGACTTTCCATTTCAAAAGAAAAGAAAAAATAAAAATAATTTTTTTTTACCCACCCCAAACTTTGGATTGGTTCTGTATGTAATTGATCAGAAGTCAATTACAACCCACATACAACTGTACCAGAAATTCAGTAATAACAATCTTACCTGATAAAGCTGGCGATGTAAACATTTACAAATGTGGCCATAAGGTACTGACAGTCAAAACGGTCCATGATTCCTCCATGACCTGGAATGGTGTTTGCAAAGTCCTGCAGTGATGGACATCAGAGCCAGAGTGTAAAACACAGGACAGGAAACTCCTCAGGTACACTAAAGCTTTGTGCCACATCTAAATGTGTCTTTTACTGTTATTGCATAGACGGCCCCCTTAAGCTGCCTTGTGGTGAAGAATGCTGTAGGTAATAGTTGAACCAAGACTGAACCTTTTTTTTCCAGATCTGTATGATCTGTGGGTGCTCAAATTACACCCACCTTGATTTTAAAGGCCCTTTTGAAGCCGCTGGCGAAAAAGCCTCCAAAAGGTCCCATTATGGAGGCAAAGGCAGACAGGGCAATGCTGTGGATCTGGAATGGGTACAACTTTACTGTAGTCTAAGAGGAAAATGGGAGAGAGAGGGAAATGTGTAAGACACTGTCTTTATTTGTATGCAATTTCAAAATATGTAACATTTAAAGGATTCTTCTTTCGCTTAAATCATTGTGGTCCAAAGAATGTCGGCATCAACAAAACACAGAGACAGATTCAAGCAGAACTGTGACAGATTCACAGTGAGTGGAAAGTCAGCAGATGGCTGTGTCTGAGCAACTGGTAAACACAGGCACAAAGATCAGGAAAAAAAAGAAACAAGAGAAAGAGAGGAGGAGTGGACAGACCGAGTGAGAGACATGAGGTGTAAGTGTCTGTGAAGACAGACAGACTGTGAACGTTTGAGTGTGTGTTTTACCCAGCCCGTGATGGACTGCAGTACTGGCGGCAGGCCGTAGTCCTGAAGCTGGAAGAGCTCAGACGGCTTACAGTCCACTGTGAAACTGTTGGAGTCATTGTTAAACTCCACAGGACACACAAAGAAGCGGTAACCTGACATCACATAAGACAGCTGGAGAAGGGACGAAATGTGATTTGTTATTGTTCAGACACATCAAATCAATTTTGAAAAGAACTAATCAGCCCCTTCCAAGGTGTCAATCAAGGCAATTCTTATTCTTACATCACCAAGGTTTCCAAATCTACATAAAAACAATCAGAGAAGACCAGACGAAGAACAGGAAGTGGGTTATTATTACTCACTAGGATTCCAAAAACAATAGTGGCGAAGAGGCCACCAATAAACCCCTCCCATGTCTTCTTAGGAGACAACTGCAGAGAAATTAAGAGAATTAGCATCAGCTAGAATCAGCATTAAGAGAACTGTACTAAAAATACACATTACACAGAAGCCACAGAATGTATTTAGACAGTTAAGCCACACTCAGAAATGTATGAATGTTACTGCATTAGACAAGCATTAAAAGCAACTGGTATTTATTTTAAAGAAAGCTGGTATTTATTTTAAAGAAAGATAGCGCAAGCACACTTTGCAAGCAAAACATTTCACATAAAAAAAGTTCATTAGGTTTTTACATCATAAAACAGCAGATATACTGTACAGCTCAAACTAATCAAAGTATCGGGACACTCTCTGATTGATGAACATTAGTGGATCACTTTTATAGTTAATGCGAGAGGACATTTAGCAGAATATCCAATAAAACACCAGTTGATTAAAAACAATAGCTAAAATTATGAGTATGGCTTAAGGGTTTAAAAGCAACTTAAACACACTACTGTTCAAAGGTTTGGAGTAACTAAAATTAAAATAATAAATTTGAAAACATTTCTTTTATTTAGCAATTATGCATTAAATTGATCAAAAGTGAAAAATCTATTTCCTATAAGTCCTGTTATTATTTCCCGAACATCAAAGAAGCTTGTAAAAAAAGTGCAATGCACAATTGTTCATAAAATTCAGAAATATTTCTTGAGCACCAAATCAGCGTGTTAGAATAAGATCATGTGACACTGAGGACTGGAGTAATGGCTGAAAATAGAATTTTGCCACCAGGAATAAATTACATTTTAAAATATTTTAAAATAGGAAACAGTTATTTTAAATCGTAACAATATTTTACAATATTACTGCTTTTACTGTATTTTTGATCAAATAAATGCAGCCTTGGTGAGCATAAGAGACTTCTTTCAAAAACGTTAAAGCATCTTACCAACTCCAAACTACTGAACAGGAGTGTAAATATTATACAGCCATTTTATTATATTTTAGATGTAATAATATTTGATTTTTAAATATTTAACTGGGGTGTTAAAAACACAAACCTTGATGAGAGGGGTGCGACCGAAAAAGAAGCCAAACATGTAAGCCATGATGTCATTACAGATAACACAGGAGATGGGCACAATAAACCTGCACACACAGAAACAGATTATCTTATATAAACAGATCACCCACACCAGAAAACCAGCTGTACTGTATCTAATATTCTGGACTGACAATGGATTGTAAAATTTAAATGTGTAAATGGCATATGGGTTTTGATAGTGCCACACAGGAGGCATCATCTTACCAGATCATCCCCTCAAACAGGTTATGAATGATTAAGTGAGACTGAGTCACCACAATCAGCAGGGTCACATGAGTCCAGCCGAACTGGGGAGAGAAAAAAAAAATGGGATTGAATAGCTCGATTCACTTCAAATCTGGGACGAAAGGCAGTGCTATTACAAGGAAAAGAAACGTGTAGGTCTGTGTGCAACATGATTAATGCGAGAAAACCTCATGCAGCCTGACATGCATGATGTATGCTTGTGTATTTGTAGAATGACAAACACAGAGAATGTGAGCATGTGCATACAAAAAACACTCAAATTATACTGAACTTATTCTATGGAACCTATAATTGAACCTGTAGAACAGACTAAACGCAACTTTTGCACACTCACTCACCATGTAGAACTGCAGGCGATAGTGTTTTTTCACCAGGCTCAGAACAAACATGCAGAACCCTGGAAAAGACACACACACACATCTAGTAAAACAGACAGTTCCGCCAATGCCATCCCTACATGTCTATGGGACTATTTTAGGCCAGTCACACTGTGTCACTAATTATGTCCTGTTTGACAGGAAGCCAGTGGCCAAAACAAATTAGCACATTACATTTAGCTTATGATGAAATCTGCTGTCTTGCATCTTTTTGAAAGAGAAAATGAGCGAGGGGTGCACAGACAGACAGAGAGCCGAACCACATCCTGGATGACATTAACATCACGCTTATGAAAAACCAACACCCCAAAAATCTCAAATCATTATGTCTGCATTTCAATATAAAACATCTTGAAGACTGCATCTGACTTTGCCTTCAACATTCTGTGTGGAAAAGTGGTTGAGTTGTTGGACTGAGCAGTAACTGTGAGAACTATTAGTTATAAAAGTTCCCAAAGGCCTTAGAGCCAGAAACACCAATAATCAAATGAAGTACCACACTTGTTGGAAAGAGAAGGTTCTAACCTGTGAGGTACAGGGCAAAGGAAATGAAGCGGTGGTATTTGCTGAGGATGCGTAGAGGCTCCTCCCTCTGCACCAGTGTGAAGAAATAATCGGTCACTGTTTCACCATAGAAGAAGTAGTTCACACACAACAGGAAGTACCTGACAAAAAACCGTTACAATTAGCAGTCAGACATTATTTTGACAAAGGCCTTTCACATCCATTCATTAATCAAAGTGTTTCTGATGGTTGTCAAAGTAATTATAATGGGACAATTTATTAGCATTAGGAAATGTAGGAAACGGTCAGACTGTAGCTGAGCAGCAGCTGACTAGGATTATGACCACATGGATGGATGGTATGTTGGGCTACACAGCAGGACTAATGTTGAGAAATAGTTTTACTCAGACCTGATTTGTCAGATATCTAATTTACAAAACCTAAAAACAAATTCAAAGAAAAGTTCACCAGTTTAAACAGGGTAAATCAAGAAATGCACGCTAAGAAATGTCATACTTTGCCACAAAAGAAAAATAATGAAGGTATTTTGCATTAATAAATTGAAGCCTGTTTAGAAACTTTAAAAAAAACTGTTTAGAAAGATTTTTTATTTGCATTGCAACATTATTTAATAAAAATTAGGCATGCATCCCTCCTTCAATTCTCAGGAATCCAATGTAATAAAGGTAAATATATATTATTTCAATAAATTGATTTTTCCAAAGTAAATCCATGGTATTTTGGTGCACTTTAAAAATTATTATTTTAAAATGCTTTTGTGTATTTTAGTAATGAGAATTGAAAATTAATTGCTTAAATTATGATGAAAATGTTATGAATTTTTTGTAACTGTCTGAAATATAATCTAATTTTGTTCACAAAATTGATTCAAAGTCTTTTCTTTTTTTATTTTGGAGGTGAAATATGACATTTCTTCAATAGACTCACTCAAAAACCTTTAACTTAAATGTATTCAAAAGAGGATCTTTGACTCAGATTACATCTTAAGAGTTTCTACAAATTAACACTGACATTTGGCATCAAGAGACCTGATTTTTGCCAGATTTTCCAAATATGTCAAAATCAATAGGGATGTCAACGATTAATTGACGGTCGATTAATTGTCATTAAGAGATGTAATCGATTAAAGCTATTGATGGTGAACTTTAAAAGTACATTAAAATAGAAATCATTCAAAGTCTATCAACATGGAAAGCAATAGAAATTTAGTAACCAAGTCATAAGTTGTAGGAATGAATTCTTGATTCTTAACGAAATCTTTCATTTCCCCCCACATGTCATGTAAAAATAAACTTGATGTGCCTCGTCTAACAAGCACAAACTGTGTTGAAATTAAATGTGACGAGAGATAAAGTCTGAAACCCATGAGATTTGTATAAAATAATTAGGTTAGTTTAGGCGCTATCTGTTGTTTTGGCAAGTAAAAAGGATATGGTCTAATTTGTTTTTAGTTTTTTTTTTTACCACACTAACAGGGATTAAAAGTGAATGACAAGAAAATAAACCTGCGAAATTAGAGGGTGAGATGGTGAGGATTTGGAAAAGAAACAATAAATATTATTAAATTCGTGGAAATTCGTGACAAACCAGAAAAACAGAACACAAAGCCACGTATTAATTTAAATTTATGGGCTCCTAGGCTACCTCTTGAACGGCACGAATCCAAAAGCATGGTCGCCATGTAACATTTGCCTGCTAACCAATTATTTCTCTTATAAACAAAGCTTGTACCTCACTTGTGTCATAATATTCACATAAAAATGTTTCATATGAGCAACAGTATGTTTTGCCGTAGCACCACAAAAGAGGTTCACTGACCTCACAGCACATCCAACAATAACCTGCATTTAAAGTAAAATGATCCCAAACATATAACTACGGTGCGCTCTCTTCATTTTATTAAATGATCATAATCACATCTATTCATTTTACAATCCTACTACTAGCCTTTTATTTAGACTAAAAAATCCTTTCATTCGGGTGAGGAAGCTGGTGTTTTGAGTAGGATTCAAACTGTCCTGTCATGCTGGTCACTATATGCCACTGCAATAGATGCTTTTTGCAGTATTACACCATGTCTACACCGGAAGCGAGTGGCGCAGTGCGACACAACAAAATACTATAGAACCCATTATAATCAGTGATGCTGTCGGTCTACACTGGATGCGGCGCGACACGACAAATCCCCGACGGTAAACTGATGCCTCGTTCTATTTCTGACGTACTGACTTAAAGTTCAAATGATTTGCAAAGGTCACTTTGTCGCGACCAGTGTAGACAGCCTCAAGCTTTTGCGGAGTGGTGTAGACACTGTGTTAAGGTTAACGATTAAATGATTAATTGATCGTTAATTTAAGCGAAGATCGATCATGGGAATGATCAAAAATTGACATCCCTAAAATCACCACTGAATTTTTAAACTTTAAAGGGGTCATATGATGTTGCTAAAAATAACATTATTTTGTGGGCGGGCTAGAGTGAGCGGCAGCGGGCGGGCTTGAGTGAGTGGAGGCCGCTGGGCTTGAGAACGGTGCGGCCGGCGGATTCGACGAAGGAGCGGCCGGCTGGCTTGCGGCAACCCCATGTGACGACCCCGGGCTGGACTGTGAGCTCCAGGCATGACGAAGCAGATATCGTCCTCTTTTGGAAGGTCAAACAAAGTAGTTTCGCTTTCACAACGAAACACACAGCGTCTCCACAACAGTGAGAATAAAAGTTACGCCTTCTTTCTTTGCGTGAATATTTGGGCGGCGTTATGCAAATCTTCCGAGATCGTGACGTAGGTATGTGGGGGTGTGTTAGAACGAGCCGTTTTAGGTAGGCGTGGTTGACTCTTAACTTTTATAAAGAATATCTTTTTGGATTTGAGACTTTAGTCTTGCAACTTTACAGATCTTCTTTATGCACCAAGAGCTTGTAACACTCCAAAGAGAAAGGAAAAATTGAAATCGCATCATATGACCCCTTTAAAAGGCATTCAGTTTGGATTTTCACGTTAACAAAACTTGGTGAATCTTTCCTTCAACATTTAAAACAAACTACACTACAGTTTGACTGTGGTCTAAACCAGAGTGAATTTCCATACCTCTATACAGCTGGTGATAGCATGTATGGCTGGATGAATAAACAAGTGCAGCATTTACTCATTTTTACACAGAAAATGAAAGAACTTGTAAGACATCAAGACACAGCCATATTATGATAAGATGAAAGTAATGATAATGATGATGCCATCTCATTACAGGCAATGCACAGTGGGAGAGAGACAGAGAGAGAGATCTGGGGTGACAGATAATGAGAAAAGGGAGAGAGGGAGAGACAATGAAGCGTGAAAATGAAGGTGGCAGGTGTGTGTTGCAAGTCTCACCAGCTTAGTGTTCTGAACCATGGCAGGTGGTAAGAGTGATACACGCTGTAACCAATTGTGATGATCTCATGGAAGCACTTGATCTGAACGCACAGCACCTGTGGAAGACACACAGACAACAATAAAAAAAAACTAACAGGCAACCCTACTAGTTCTACTCTGATGTGCTATTTCTAGCTGTTTTCGAAAGCAAGAATTCATTCTGTGTGTTTGCTGCTCTAACTGGCAGTCAATAGAGCTCATAACATCTTTTGTAATTGCCCTAAATGGCATGATATATCAGGACCATATTGGTTATCGGACAGTATTAAAAATTATTCACCATTATGGAAATTTATTGTCTGTTAAATTTGAATAATTAATTTTGGAAACTCTTCCATCTGTTTTGGGATTTTAGATTATGCAGCACCAACTGCTGCTAATATAACGGTAAAATGTAAGCACAGCAGCATTATTTTAGTATTATTTACATAATAAGTTTTCATAATACAGTTTTATTTTAGTTTAAGTTTTTGTAATTTTGTTACGTGCTTTTGTGAATTTCCATATAGCTTTAAAACATTTTGATTTCAGTTTTAGTATGAGTAAATTTAGGACTTATTTCAGTTAGTTGCCATTGCAACATTTTTTTATTTATTTTTTACGTTTTTCATCCAATATTTCTATTTTATTTTTAGCTTTGTTAGTTCAATTACCGAAAATGTTTTTGTTAGTTTTAGTTAGCAATAACAACATTGGAGCAAAGATTTAACTCTTTAGGAGTACTTGCTTACACATAATAGAGGTCGAGGGATGTAATGATGTATTGCGAGCCGGTTGAACATCGATACAAATATGTGACGATTCAAATTGGTTGAGATGTTAAACGAATCACGATACATTTAGGGGTGGGTGTTTATATGAATGTATCTCTGGGGGGAACTGACTGTCTTTAGAAAAGTTTAGATGATATTTTCTTTTCATCTCGTCTCTGTATAATACATATTAAAGTATTTATAAGCGCAGCTCTGCTTTGTTTACAGCTGTAACCAAGGAAACAGCTGTATCGCTGTTGCTGTTCCATAAGTGCCACCTGTTGTCAGAGAGTGAATTTGCATTTTCATTCAGTCCGTCTGCTGTTTGTTTAATGCAGATGTTTTATGTAGTACTGTATAGTTTCACACAACTAAAGTCAGACCATTCTGTTTTTGTTTAAAATTTCAAATTATACAATCTAATTTAGATTTTTTTTAAAACTGCTCATGTTGCATGTATACAGCATCTTTGTTTGGATTGTGATTCAAATGCAGTGGTTGCCTCTAATTTTGAATGGAAAGAGCACAGGCAAAGCCTTTGTTTATATGAAGAGATTTTTTGTCTTATTTATTTGATTAGATTTGGGGTTTGTTTTAAAATTTTGTTTTGTTTTGTTTTGTTATTTGCCATATTTCTGTTTCACAAAGAAATGTGCAGCATTTTGTCCAAGCAAAAATAAAATGACAACTTTTCATTTATAATTTGTCTTAAACCTAATTTTGTTTAAAAAAAAAAATAGTGAGAAAATCGTATCATGAATCGAATCGTGAGTTGAGTGAATCGTTACATCCCTATTGAGGTTCCAACTATTCGGCTTTATTGTCAATTACTCACCTCGAAATGAATAATTGTGCATATTTTTTACTTTGGATTAAAACGATGTGAGGCCTGAATTCACTTTGATTGAATTCGAGTGCAATTTGAGTGCATTTTATCCATATATTTATGCATAATACAGGGATTAAAGTTTTCCGTCGCTACGACAGATTTCCGTCAGTTCATAAAGACAGTCACTTGCTTCATTCCTGAATGATTCAGCCGTTCGAACAAATCAATTGAATGAATGATTCAGTGATAAAATCAGTGACTTGCCACCACCTGCTGGCGGATTTCATTTTTAGCATATAATTTCAGTTATTCAAATCATTTAAATCATTTAATATTTCTGTATTCAAAATGTTATATTTAAAACATTAATCTCCACATGAATTTAATTGCACTCATGCCACCTCTGAGCCTCATTAAACGTCTGAAAATGAAAACAATATAATAAGATGTAGAATAAGGCATAAGTTACCAATCATATGAAATTAGTATTAATAAATTATTTTGTACTACAGAGGTGGCAATTGGTTTATGACTCTCCTATGGAACACTATCTGTAGTTGTAACTAGATGTTTCCATAACTTGGAATCTGGCACTCTTCTTTATTTCCCATCAGTGTCATAACTCTATAAGACCATGACACACCAAACATTCACAGTGGTGATTTTGGGAATTACCAGTACAACTCAAGACAACTCTTAAGATGCTCCCTATAATCTATTACAAATGTCTCTCTGCTTGCATATTCACCATGAACTTCATTTACTCTTAGCAATTTGTCTGTGTCATGCTCATCAGACTGAAGAAAGTGCAAATGCCACCAAAACACACAAGAGATTGGACTAATTTAAGATCCACACAAGCAGGCGGTTGATACTGCCGACACAAATTAGTCATGTGAAAATGAGTAAAGTAAAAATAAAAACCAAACGTTTGACGCTGCATTTGGAAGCTTCAAAACTAGATGTTTTGTCCCTAAAAATATGGAATCATCTAAGCAGCCTGTTTTTTAAGTCTTAAGTAAAAATATCCCTTGGTGTTACAACAACAGGATAAGAATATACTCACAATCATCATCAGCACCATCGGACCCAGATAAATAATGATAAAGAAGAAAGAGATCATAGCCAGAGTGAGAATGCCCCTCACCCACCAGTTCTTCCATCTGCAGGAGAGACAAACACATTAACGCAAAGCATATTGGGTAGAAATATAATCTTCCTAACGCAAGGACTAAAAGCTCCAGTGGCCTTTTATTGAATGAATCATCTGGCGTTCACAACAAAATGCCAATAATCTGCTCTAGAGTGGGATGCTTTAACCACACTTTTTATATTACGTCACATGCAAAGTGTGTTCTACTTTATTACGAGTCATTTTAATTGTTGATTTAGAGGTGTTTACCGTGAGGAAAGGCCCGAGAGGGCTTTGTTGAGAACCTCTGGTGTGTCATCGGCAGGAACAGGAACCTCAGAAACCCCAGAGTCTGACTTAGTCTCATTGTCTGAGGCTCCATCTCTCTCCTTGCCCTCCGTCTCAGAGCCCTGGAGACAGTTAGAGAGAAGGAACAAATACAAAACGGATTAATTCATCTATCAAAAACCATATTTGTTTATTTGCAAAGAATTCTGGATACTATATTAACTACCGTTTCACAGTTTGGGATCAGTAAGTTTTTCAAACAAGAAATAATACTTATTTTCAGTAAGGATGCAATAAAGTGATCAAAAGTGACAGAAAAAATTTAATTGTTGAAAAAAAAAAAAGCTTTTATTTTCATCAAAAATCCAGAAAAAAAATGTATCAGGATTTCCACAGATAATATTAAGCAGCACAACTGTTTTCACAACTGATAATAAGAAATGTTTTTGAGCACCAAATCAGCATATTTGAATAATTTCTGAAGGATCATGTGACACTGAAGACTGGAGCAATGGCTACTGAAAATTCAGCTTTGCCACCACAGGAATAAATGACATTTTAAACCATTACAATAGAAAGCATTTATTTTAAATGGCATTAATATTTCACAATACTACTGCTTTTACTGTAATTTTGAGCAAATAAATGCAGCCTTGGAACATCTGTATCTAACAGGCCTGCGTGTCTAAGTAGCCTGTTGCACAATTACAAATGACCTGCCTTCATCCCCATAACAACAGGCTGTCATCATCAGATGGGTCTGCACCAGCTGGTCCAACTGTTAAGATTGTTCCAGAAACCTCTTTCTATCCATCTGACAGAAATAATTTGGATCTGATTATGAAGAGCACCCTCAAGCTAACGTACATTTACGGCTGACACTCATCTGACAGCAAGAGCTACGGAAGGATCCAGGGACTACATCCTGATATTCAAGATGCCAGTTAAAAATACCCTCCCTCGTCCCGCCCACCTCCTCCCCCGTCTCTCAAATGCTCCGCCGACCACAAATAGCTCATCAGGAACTGAGGACATCCCACTCTTCCTAAAAGAGACATTTTCAGTCTTCCTGCCAGATCTGACCCATACTCGTCTCAGAGTATGAGCAACACTTTGACCAAATTGGTGGACAGCAGCATTAGCCATCTGGAAATGTGGAATTCCCCGACAAACACAACATCAGTGACAGTCTACAAAAGAGATGGCTGATGTAAGCGTGTGTTAAATTTGTCACATTCATTAAAAATGTAATGTCTGACTGTATTTGATGTCTGGGCAGGGCAATTCGTATATGATTGTCACATTTCGCCCCTAGTGGCAGTTGCAGTGAACTTTTGAAATGGTCATCGTAAATGAATAACAAATATCAAATTAATAACGAATGCATGAATAGGGTTGGGTATCGTTTGAATTTTATCAATTCCGATTCTGCTTATCGATTCCCAGTTTCGATTCCAGTGAGGTTTTAATAAAAAAAATGAATTCAAACATTTAGATATAAACATATTTATTCTGTGTCTCTTTTTTGGATTCGATTAAGAGCTGTTTGTGTGCAAAATAGAGCTACACAATTCTGGATTGAGATTTTTTTTTAATTCATAAATTACATGTGAATTTTTTTTTTTTAAAGGGATCATAGGATGCTACATGCACTTTTACAAGTTGTTTGAACTGAAATGTGTGTTGGCAGTGTGTGTACACAACCACCCTATAATGATAAAAATCCACCCAGTGTTTTTTTTTTAATCTACTAAAATTTTTACCCCTTTCTCAAATCGAGCCGATCTCAGATGCCTGTCTGTGTGACG